CAAGCAGGAAAATATATATTGCTTTGTATAAAGAATAATGAAATTCATCACCCTGTTATGATAAAATAATGGAGTTTCACCAAAAATAATATTACACATGTTAAACCCAACTCTTTTAGAAGTTTTTGTAAAAATGTGCATACTAAGATTACTCCATAATGAAGAGATTTTTGTGCAATTCAAAAATATATGTTGTATTGTTTCTATCTCCTGTTTACAAAAAGTACAGTGGTCATCAGATAAAATATTTATTTTCTTCAAATAATACTTCACTGGAAGGATTCTATGAAGGATTCTATACTGTAACCATTGAACAGAAGTATCCATAGTTGTTCTAAAACAAACCTTAAAAACATCTTGAACACAAATATCAGATTCCAAAAACACTGACAGTTCCTGGTTCCATCTAAATATTGATGTAGGAGTGACAAGGTTACTATTCAAATATTTGTAAATTATTTTTGTGCACTTCTCGTATACAATAATATTTTCAAAATAAAAAGGAATAAAAGGTGTACATTGTCTCTTAACAGATGATTTGTCTATAGACATTGTTTTTAAATACCTGGATATAGCACAGATAATACTGTTGTATTGCATAATGCAAACATTAAACAAATGAAATCTATTTTCAAAGTCAGTGAGAGTTAAAAAATTTCCTTCATTGTTTAAGAAATCACAAACACTTTTAACACCATTTTTATACCAGGTTTTTATAAACATTACTTTATTTCCCATTTTTATATTGGGATTATACCAGACAGGTAAATTCAGATACTTAGTTTTCATATATGAATTGTTATCGAGTGTCTTCATGTAAAATAGCCATGAATTACACACATCTTTCCAAAAATCATTATTTTTTACAATCAAACAAGATACAAACTCTTCACCAAAATCAAAAAGTTTAGTCAATATGTCTTTACCATTTATTGTCGAAAAAATATCAAACCATGGTTGATTGCTTTTTGTTAATCTTTTAATCCAGGAACACTTAAGAGAGATAATAAAGTTATTTATATCCAACATTTTTAATCCTCCTTGTAAAAAATCTTGAGTAATAATTTTTCTTTTTACTTTATCACATTTTGATTTCCATATAAACTCAAATATTTCTCTGTTCAATAGTGACAAGGTTTCTTTATTTGGATTTGGTAAGGATATAAAAAAATGGTTAAGTTTTGGTAAAATCAATGTTTTCAGCACCGTGACTCTTCCAATAGGAGTAAGAATTCTTCTTCTCCATTGTTGAATTAATGCTTTGATTTTTGGTATTTGAACATTATAGTTAATATCAATAATTTTATCTAGTTCTACTGAAAAATTAATTCCAAGTAAATTGAAAGTTGTGCAACCCCATTCAAGTTTCCAACGAGAATGGTGAAAAACTTGATTAGAGAATTTTTTTGAACCTATCCAAACAATTTTTGTTTTTGAGCTGTTAATTTTAAGTCCTGTGAACTTTGAGAAAAAATCAATTGTATCTAATGCTGCAAAAAGTGATTCAGGTGAACCATCAAGGGCAAGCCAGGTATCATCTGCATATTGAGATATTTTATGCTCTGTCTTGTTAATTACAATTCCTTTAATGCTTTGATTTTGTTTAATCATTATTGCAAGAATTTCTGCACAAAGAAGAAACAGATATGGTGCTACAGGATCTCCCTGACGACATCCTCTTTGGATATTAAACTGTTCAGATAAAAATCCACATTGAAGAACAGATGCACAAAATTCTGTATTTAAAATTGTTACCCATTCAATAATGTTTTTACCGAATCCAAAAAATTCTAATACTTTATACACAAAGGTCCAGGATATTGAATCAAAAGCTTTTTCAAAATCTATAAGTACAAGCAACCCCGGTATATTTCTAGATTCAGTGTAAGCCATAAGATCATAAAGAAATCTGGTATTTTCACCTATGTATCTTCCTTTTAAAAAGCCAAGTTGAGTATTTGATATAATATTGTCCAGGGTGGATCTTATTCTATAACTAATACAACCTGATATAAGTTTATAAAACACATTTAAAAGTGTAATAGGCCGCCAATTTTTCAGAAATTCTCTTGGCTTATCACCTTTTGGTAAGCATGTAATTATCCCTAGTCTTTGAGAGATAGGGAGTTCTTTTTTCTGAAATACATCATTTATGGCAGGTACTATTAAATGTTTCAAATCTGACCAAAAAAATTTAAAAAATTCAGCAGTGAAACCATCACTTCCCGGTGATTTATTGTTTTTCATATTTTTTAACACCTATAGACTTCATTTTCCATAATATTTCCCTCAAGTGATTTGGCAACATGATTATCAAGTTTTGGAACCTCAGTAACTGTAATAATTTCTGCCAGATCTATATCGAGAAGTTCTGCGTCTGCAGAAGTATACAGTGATTTGTAATACATCCTAATTCTGTTTAAAATTTCTGATTGATTGTAAATTACCTCGTTGTCTGTTTTAATCTTTTTGATAATCTTATTTAAATAGTTACGGGATTCTAGTTTACAAAAGTATTGAGATGGCTTTTCTCCATCTTCAACCCATCTGGCTCGAGACCTTATAACATAACCTTGTAGCTTTTCTTTTCTCAAATTCTCAAGATTTGTTTTTTTCTCTTCTATTAACTGTAGATTCAATATATTCTCTGCCTCTAATTTCTCTATTTGTGCAATTAACAAGACTTCTTCTTTATCTTTTTCTTTCTTTCTATATGACGAATATGAGATTGTAATTCCTCTAATCTCCATTAAGAGGACTTCAAGAAATGTACTGTTATCCATATCATCTATAAGCACATTATTCTTTTCATATTGTTTTCTAATAGACTTTATTGTTTCTTTCACCTTGTTAACATATGTTATGTCTGTAAGTAAAGAGTTGTTAAATTTCCAGAGACCTTTTCCTTTCTTAAAGGTATTAAATTTTATATCAAGAACCACTGATGAGTGGTCCGATCTGTACCCTGGTTTAATTGCTAAGTTTTCAACCAAATTACACATATTTTCAGAAATTAAAAAATAATCTAAACGTCCTTGTTTCACTGGATTTTTCTTCCGCCAAGTAAACATTTTTAAGTTTGGATTCAAAATCCTGAAATAGTCAACTATTTGTAAATCATTCATAATTTCTAAAAGTTTTTCTCTCCCCTTTGGATTGTTAATGT